GTGTCTCGGAGATACAGAAATGCAGTCATTTTCAAGATCTTGGTGGAGGCAGCCTTGAAGAACAGCTTCAGCAACCTGTGTGGTTTCTTAAAGGTTATTGTAACATTTCTTCAGATTTGTATGTAATGCAAAAAGAAATGGAAACGTTTGCAAGTCTAATTTTTTGACTCAAAAAAAAATCTGAAATTTGATCATCAGAAGCAGAGTCCTTGGGTTTTAACCTTAAATATGTGGATCAATTTGTATCCGCATGCGTCTTTGCAGCCTTTGGAAAGAGCTAGGGTGCTTTCAGTGCAAGACATCTCCTTGGGCCGGGCTGGAGCTGTTTAGATTTCCTCTATAATGTAGCAGGAGAAAAGCTTGTTTTGACAACTTGATTTATACGCTCTTGAGCTTCTGTCTTGAGCGCGCGGGGCAATAGATACTTGTCACGAGATCCTCTGTTGAACATTAAAGACAAGAATGTGGAACCTGTGCTCCTGTAACTTCACTGCCTGTAAGGAGGTGGCTGTACACAGACCCATGAAGTGAGCAAGGCAGAAAGGAGCTTGACTGGCAAAATCAGAAATACTAAGGGATAAAGGGTCTTGAACTTCTCAGAGTGATACCTGTAACATTCAGTCCTATGGCTCTTACACCCCATCTCTTACTTATTGCAAGGTAGATTGGGTAACTTCAGTCAGCGTTGTTTTTGGTTTTTTTTTTTTTACATTTGCAGTTCATTTTCGTCCTGTTTGTGGTGTTTGGGCTTTGCTGACAGTGCTTTTTTGGCAAGTAGGGTTTTCACAGGAAAATGCATTGGCAGTCAGCAGGAATGGGTCAGGTTGTGTCGTGTTTCCTTTACCAGAGGACGTGGTTTTCTTTTGCGACAAAGCACGGTACTCTGTTAAAGAACGTGTTGTGGCGCCATCTGATACCTTTATTGTTGGGCTGGCAGATCTTCTTTCAGACCTCAGTTACGTTTGGTATATAACACGCGCACGCAAAGGCAACCCTTTGCTTCCCAAAATGTGAGAGGCTTTCTTTCTGTGCAGTGCCTCTTAAGTTTTGCACAGCCGTAGCAGCCATCGCTCTATATAGGCTGCCAACATGGATACAGATACAGCAGTTTTAAAGATAAACCGGGTGCGTTGCAGACGACTTGTGTGGTATGTAAAGCTGACTTTGGGTTTGACCCTGTGTAAACCCAGGACTATATAAAGGCATGAAGATGTTGTCATGCCAGTTTATGTGGCATAAGTTGTAGTTTTATTTTCAACATTAAGCTGTTGTCCTTGGGGGTGAAGCTGGCGCCAAGCCCTGTTACTGAGAATACAGAAGTGACGGTGTTTTGATTCAAGCTGGCAGACTTGGGACTTAAAGAATGTTGATGCCTAGGAGGTCGCTTAAAGACTTACCCTTTAACTAGGCCCCTGCAAAATTGAAGTTTTCAAGGTACAAGAGCATCTTTGTTCTTTGTAACTTGGCTTTAACAGGGTGGGACTAGTGCAGCCTGGTAAAATAGTTTGGAAGTTCACCTGCCTGCGGACAGTTGATTTTTAAAATGATCCTGAGAGATGCTGCAAGAGCGTGCCAAGAGGAGAATGTAGTAATCGGTATTTGTATGTCATTTACTTTTGGGAGCCTAACTGAAAGCGAGCAGGTTCCCTGGCCCTGCTCCAGGGAAGGAAGGAAGGAAATGTGCTGTTCGGGGGGTTGAATGACCCAGGGGCGTTCCACACACTGATGTGTGGTGTTCCCGCTGCAGCCCGGGCAAGGCATCTGTTGGCTTGGTAGCCGTGCTGACCATGGTCCAAATGCCATCAATCCGTGGCCTCCGTGTGGAAGAGGAGGAGCCTTTCGTCTCAGTGCTGAGGCCAGGGGGAACCTTGGGGGAAGGTGTCCTTCTCTTTGGCTGTTCCTCTGTGCATAGGTGTCCTTCTTTTGCTTTGTTAAGAATGTACCAATTCCTACCTCATAGCTGGTTGCTGTCTTCCCTTTCCTGGTCTCTCTTGCTCTCTCCTCCCCCTGCTTTTTTTTAATTTCTTTTCTTTTTGGTAGACCAGTGCAGTGCACACACTGCAAGTCACCAGTCCCTTTTGAAGGGGACACCTTGATGTACTTGATACCACGGAATTTATTATGGAAACACTACACATAAATAATTTTGAAATTGCCATCTGTTGTGGCTTTATTCTAGCTGCTTAGGTAGTAGGTTTAATCACCTGGAATATATGGGCGGCATAGAGGTACTTTCCATGGACCACTGCCCCCCTTGCCTTACTTGCTGCCTGGAGCTTTCTAATCCAAGGGTGCGCCCTGCTGCTGGGTAGGTGCCGGCAGTCTCTGCTAGACATGGAAAGGGCTCCCTTTACTCTGTGCTGGCACTCCAGAATGTTTGTTTCCACTTCCCGTTTTACGAATAGCAGCATATTTCTGGCCTGCCTGTAGACTGAGCAGTGATTTACGACCATCTGTGAAAAACACCATTGTCTCGGTAAGATGCTGAAGGTTACAGGTTTAAGACTGTGATGAGTTACGATGTCTGTCCTTCACACTCCTGTGAAGTCAGATACCCTCTGCTACCTAAAATCAGGTAGTCCTCCTGCCCTAATACCTCCTGGGAGCACTGTCCAGGTGTCTGAATAGGAATATGCAGGAGCACTACATGCTGTTTCAAATTCTGTTTCCTAGGAAAAGTTCCCTGCTTTCCTTTGTTTTAGTGTTCCCACCTGGGGATGGTGGTGGTGACAGACGTCCCTTTAGTCATTTCGGTCCTCCGACAAAAAGTGCCAGGAAGTGCTTGGTGTCATTAGCTTGGCATCAGGAAAGGTGGAGGTTTCACTCATTAGAGATCACAGAGCCTAGAGTGTGCAAAATGGACACAAACATGGGGCCCTCCCTTTCTGTTCCACAACGGTTTCAGCTTGGGGGAAAAAAAAAATAGTAATCTGCACAGTGTACTTCTGCATCTCCCTGGAATCGCTTTCTCCTGCTGTTTCTGGCTGTGCAGGATAAGCGCACTCTTTGGCAGCTGAACAGGTAGGAGCAGAACGGAGCTGTTAACCTGTGCGGTGGATGTGGCCCCTTTTCCTGGTGCCCGAGTTGTAGTAGCTCTGTTTGGCACAGGCCTGAGGTGAGAGGGGATGGCTGAGCCGCGCCGGGTCTCTGTCAGTCTCTGCAGCGTACGTGCTCCGCCTGGCAATGGGGAAGGAGGAGACAGCGACATGGACTGCACTGCAGCACACTGCAGCACTCTCGGAACAAAGACTTGCTGGGAGAACACGACTGGCGTTGCTGCTGTGTGCTGACCACGGTTCAGGGACAGGGCCCTGAGGCCGCATCTGCACCACGAGTATTTCTTCATGTAACTGTCGGTCGCTTTCCCAGAGCCTTTGCCATTAACAGGACACCTGAATTATTAGTAAGGCACTAATAATAAGCAACAGTGTTTTGGACTAGGTGAGAAAAGACCGTAGTGAGCTCGCCTCTGAAATGGAGTTGGGGGGAAGTGCTGGCCACGCTCCTTGCCCGTGGCGCTTGAGCAGCCAGGGTGGATGCTGCATTACAGCCCGCGGGAGCTGGCCGAAGGGAGCAGAGTTCCTGTCTGCTGTCAGACCACCGCAGCCTCTTGGGGAGAGGGGGATGTCTTTAGCCAGTGGGCCTGAGCTGTCTCTTATCAATGGTCTGCAATACGACCTTCGGTACAGGACAGCAGAGATCGGTGTCTCTCTAATGCTCTCCATTGAGAGTTGTGCCTTGCAGAGTGTAGTACACAAATAACTCCTGCAGCCTTCCAGGGAGGACTCTGCCTGTAACCAGGTCACTTGGAGAAGACTTACTCTTTTAAAACGTGCTCAGAGCTTGTTCGTTTTGATGCACAGATTCCCGTTACTGTCAGTGAGCTTTGTTCTGGGGTTATCTGTGCTCTGCACCACCATATCATCACCATGGATGCATGAAACTGAACAGGATGAAGGTTGTCTTTTCCCTGCAGTTTATTATATATGCTGTTAGCATGATAGCAAGATTCATTAAATGTTTCCTATCCACAAAATTATCCTGCCCAGTTTCACATAGCTGCATGAAGCTTCTCCCTTACGGGTCACGAGACAGAAGGAGCCCTCTGCCACTGCTCGAGCTGCATTGACTGGCCCTGAACACAGAAAGGTTGCTTGAGTTGCTCTCTGCAGCATCAGCTTTAGCAGTGTCCTCTTAACCTACCTGAGTCTCCCTGCTCCGCTATTCAAGCATTAGTAGCTGTCTCACAGTGCTAGGTTACAAGGCAAGGAGGAGAAAATAACTAATACAGCCTTTAGACTTCTGCAGAGATCAGAAAGCTCAAGAGCTGCACTGCTTTTCAGGATGGTGTTACTGGATTATCAGAGCCCCTGCTCTGTCATTTCTGATAGGTCTCTTTCTGGCACTTGGTGAGGCTGTTTTCCAAGAAAGGGAGCCTGTCAGGGAAGGAGCGAGTGCCTTCTTAAGGGCTCCTTTTGCTAAGCACAGAAGGAAGCAGAGGAGTCTCTCTCCTCCGGGTACCATTACTGCATGGTTTCAGGAGGCAAGGCAAGCTGAATTCAGGACTCTCTTAAAGTAGGGGGACTGACTTTGAAATGGAGAGTATTTTGACAGATATGATCCTACTGAAATGCTGTCTGAATGGGTATAATCGTATATTCGCTTAGGGTTTACTTGTGCTTTGAAAGAAGTTGCATTACCCCGGTCCTTTATTGTGTGGATACAGCTAGGATCACAAGGGAAGGGATCAGTCTTCTCCCTGCGTTTTTCATTTTTTCTGTCTGTTTTCTTTAAGGAAGGTCACTGGAATTGCAGGCAAAGGTGTGCTGCGGGAAATTGAAGAGCTAGGATGCGGCAGGGCAAGTGTCCCCGTGCATGGCCAAGCAGAGTAAATCCTGTGTGGCTTCCAGAATAGTTGTTTATGGCTCCCTGCAGTAGACTGCCAAAACCTGAGCTTTCTTTCCATGGAAATATCCTTATTCTGGCTTTCTCCAACGTAGATAACCAGTTCAGGATGTCAATATTGGAGCGACTTGAGCAGATGGAGAGGAGAATGGCCGAAATGACAGGCTCCCAGCAGCACAAACAAGGAGCAGGAGGCGGGAGCAATGGGAGTGGGAACGGAGGAACGCAGGTACAGGTATGAACCCCACTGTGTCCAGACACGTCAGCTTTATGCTTTCTTGCCAGAGTTTTGTTTTGAGGGGGTTGGAAAGGATTATAGTTTTTCCTACACAAGTCTGGTTTGTGGGTGTCTGCAACAGCAGTTGGCTTTCACTCGCATTTGCCACTGTCTCAGTACTTGTAGAAGCAGAAAACTGCCTGCTCAGGGCAGGTTGCAGCTCCCCTCAGCGGTTAAACTGGGATGTGTGTGGTGTTTCAGTGCGTTTCTGGGACTGGGACACTGGGCAGCTGCTTTGAGAGCCGCGTGGTGGTGGTGTGCGAGAAGATGATGAGTCGTGCTTGCTGGGCAAAGTCCAAACACTTGATCCATTCAAAGACTTTCCGAGGAATGACGCTGCTCCACCTAGCCGCTGCCCAGGGCTATGCTACACTGATCCAGACCCTCATCAAATGGCGGTAAGACCTAGCCCGTTGGACTCTTGGGTGTCAGTACAGGCATGGCAGAAGCATATGTAAGCTCTGCTTGGTCCGGATTTCTGGTTGTCCCTTACAAACAGCCAAGTCCTTGAACTTGTTCCTGTCCCCTGATCTGACAGGACCTGTCTCCTGAGAGACCGAGTCCAATCACTGGATGTATCATGCTCTTAAAGTCTCTGGTGGGGGCACCATCTGTAGTAAATATGTGCATCATGGGCGTATGCGTGACCACTTGTTTGCAGTATGGTGCATTTAGGCAATGATCCTAACGTGGCTACAGAGCATCATTTTGTTCTGTTGCTTCTTTTGCAGCACCAAACATGCAGACAGCATTGATCTGGAGCTGGAAGTTGACCCTTTGAATGTGGATCATTTCTCCTGCACTCCTCTGGTAAGAGCAGAGACTGAAACTTTTGAGAGAGTCTGAGGACCGTCTGGAGTTCCTCCTGATGTGTTATTTTCCTAATGTGTTTCACACTCTGAAGAGTAGATGTTTCTTGTGTCTTTGCTGTGTAAGTGGTAAGACACAGCATGATCAGCTTCCTGGCATTGCATTGAGAGAGGCCACGCAGAAGAAACCTTGCCATTGAGTAACTGAAGAAAGGGGGACAGACAGGTGGTTCTGGTTTGTGTTTTACCTAAAATCTAGTCTCCACTATCATGCTGGAGAAAGGGCTTTACGTGCCTTCTGTCAAGTTGTTCTGTTTGACTGACTGTAGAGGTTCTAAAGTCACTGGAATCATGAAATCGTGACTGAGACCTTGGACAAGAAAAAAGCCAAAATAAAACTGTCAAACTGTCAGCATCGTTTGGTAGAGGAAGGCTTCTCTGTCATAGCAAGAATAGTATGCATCTAATCCTCTGTAATGGCCTGTTGTCTGGATAGGACATTTTACGGCTTTTATAGCCACTTGCTGGGGTTCGAGCATGTTACAGTTTTGCTTATCAGTCGTTTTTCTGTGAGCTGGGGCAGAAGGCAGGTTGCCCAATGAGTCAATTGTCTTTCCTTTTTCAGATGTGGGCTTGCGCCCTGGGCCACATGGATGCAGCCGTTGTGCTGTACAAGTGGGACCGTCGAGCCATCTCTATTCCTGACTCCCTTGGGAGACTGCCACTGGCCATTGCCCGGTCTCGGGGCCACGTGAAGTTGGCGGAGTGCTTGGAGCAGCTACAACGAGATGAGCAGACTCAGCTTGGGCAAAACCCCAGGATTCAGTGCCCCTCGAGCACAGACTCCAATACAGAGAACTGGGTGTCCCAGTGGCACAGTGAGCTTATTGCCTCTCAGGAGCCTCAGAAGGGAGTCACTGTGATTTCCAGTACAAACACAGGTGAAGCAACCCAGAGGGCATGCACTGCATTGCTGACATTTGACATGTGAAAACCTGGGGGCAAGGAGCTCACCTGGACAGTAGATGCCACCTGTAGCCCTGCTGTCCATGCTTAATTCTTTTCTTGTCGACTCTGTCATGTGGTCCAAGTGTCGGGAAGAGGAGTGAATGCCTGCTTTAGAAAGACGTGTGTGTCTTAAGAGTGGTTGAGGTAGTATCCTCCCTGGGTGATAGTTACTCCCTTTGCGCATATTATCGGGTGTCCTAGAGCATGGTACAAACCTCCACCTGCAGCTCTGCAGCAGAAGCTGTTGTAGTTCCTACAGCTGTCATGGGTTGCGTGTTTTGTTTTGACCATTGATCTGTTTGTTTCCAGAGCTGAGACGACCGAGATCAGAACCCTCCAGTTACTACAGCAGTGAGACTCAGAAAGATTACCCTGCACCCAAAAAACATAAGCTGAGCCCTGAATATTTTCAAGCCCGGCAGGAGAAGCTGCTTTCCACTGCGCTGAGCCTGGAACAGCCAAGCATCAGGAAGCAGAACTCCAGCTCTAAGCAATCCGCCACTGAGACAATCAGCCCCAGTGAAGGGATAAGGGACTATGGCCGGGAGCTCTCCCAGCACATCCCAGAAGTTACTGGGTACCGGGGCTCTGGCAGCCAAGCAGGCATCAAATGGAATCCAAAAGACCTTTACATTGGTGTGTCAGCAGTGCAGGTGGCAGGGAGCCAGAAGGGGGCTGCGATGGGGAAGGACACTGTAGCCCATCGGCTACGCCAGCGAGAGCAGATGAACGTGCTGATGATGGCTGACAGGGAGATGGTGGATGCAGAGCTCTTGTCCTATAGGGACAATGCAGGGGATGAGGACTGCTTACACCACATGGATGACTTGCAGGTAAACATACCCGTAGCACCAAGATCAGCAGTCTCAGGGAACATGGTGGCTGCACAGAGGAAGCCTGACTGTGAGAAACTTCTGTGGAGGCCTTTAGAGACTCTGCATTGTGCGTTGTGAAAGGAGGTGGTCATACAGTTAACGTATACTTTCTTCCGGTTTTGAAGGGTATCCTTTCAACCCAGTTGCAAAGGCTGGTGGTTGGCATTTAGGGTCATGCACTGGCATATGCTTCAACAGTGTACAGGATGCACAAAACTTTTTGCGGTTTCGCAAGGAGAAAGGAAAGAAGCAGAGCCTCCTGGTCGCATCAGTAAATGAGAGTAAGGTGGCCCCATAGTCCTTTGGGAACTGGGAAACAGTTTCTACGAAGACAAGGTGACCTGAGAGAGGCAGTGCTGCGGTTGCAGGCCAAGCCGGTGCACTTTAACAGCAAGGAGATGAAGAGTGGAGAAGGGGAGAGACAGTGGGTATGGGGAAGGAAAAATCCCACCAGGTATGGAATAGAGGACAGAAAGCCACAACAGAAGCAGGACAGATGAGGAGTAGTCACTGGGGGAAAGATACTGCATTTGGTAGTAATGGGAGCACAGCCTACGTGCCCTGCCTTGGCATCTCTAAATATTCTCATCTTACTGGTGTAACGTAGATGAAGCAGGTCTTTGCAAAACAGGAACCATTTTCTGTTCTCTGTATTAAAAACTCCTGTGAATCTTGGTGGGTGGGGGGAATATGGTTCAGAAGGATTCCCGACAACGCTGTGGTCCCAAGGGTTTAACTTCTCTTGATGTGCCTTTATTGCCCTGTCATGCTCTACTGCACATCTCGGCAAAAGAGTGGCAAGATGGCTTTTCCTTTGGAACCAAGATAGTAGTGACAGCTGTCAGTAGCATACAGCAAAGGTCAGTGACATAATCCTTCCACCAGATCTCTTGGGCTCCCCATACACTCAATGAAAAAGAGGTCTGGGGAATAGGAAACCCTGCAGCGCTTTGTCAGAAGAGACAGAAAAGCAAATGAACTTTGGCTGATAAATTTCTCTCCAATGCTGAGACAAGCAGTAGACTCCAGCTACCACGAGTCTGGGGAAAACAGGCCAGTCTGTCTAAAGCTGGGCTGTAACGTGCAAGCCCAAGGCTCCTGCTACCAGGCAGCAAAAGTTTTCTCTCCTCTCCTCCTTCCCAGGTGAACATGATGACACTTGCAGAGCACATTATTGAAGCTACGCCTGACAGGATCAAGCGGGAGAATTTTGTGCCGATGGAGTCGCCACTGGTGGAGAGAACGGACAGTGCTGCCATAAGCACCACAATGAGCTGGCTGGCCAGTTACCTTGCTGATGTCGATCATCTGCCGAGTGCTGCGCAGATAAGGTCAGTAAGAGCTGTGAAGCCCCTCTGGGTTTTTGAGTGGTCCGAATGCTGGGCAGTGTGCACTGATTCTTTATACCTGCAGATGCTATTTCTAAGTGGGACTCGGTGCTGGTGTTCCAACCCTGGCCACGCTCTTACAGTCAAATGTATTGTTGCCAGTACAACTACAGGTTCATGGAAGAATGGGAGTGCATGCAGCAGGAGAGGAAAGTGGCCACGAGGTCTGACTTGTGACTTCTCTTCTGGTGCCGAGCCTGTGCAAAGTGGTACAGGCAGGCTCAGGAGTGTGGGATGTTGGTTGGAGAGAGGGAGGGGAGCATGAGCTTCTGCCTTGAACTGAGAAATGTTGTAGTCCTTATCTGTGATGCCAGCTCAGGTGCTTTGTGAGCCAATAATTCCTACTGTGATTGGTATTTCAGAAGTCTGTATAGTGAACCCCTGACCCCTTCTTCGAACACCAGCTTGAGCCCCGCAGGCTCACCAATCAGCGAAATAGCTTTTGAGAAACCCAGCCTTCCCTCGGCAGCAGACTGGTCTGAATTTCTGAGTGCATCCACCAGCGAGAAGGTAGAAAATGAGTTTGCACAGTTAACTCTGTCTGATCATGAGCAGAGAGAACTCTATGAAGCTGCCAAACTCGTCCAGACAGTGTTCAGGAAATACAAGGTATGTGGCCAAAACGTCCAGTGTCTTTCTTGTTAGGTGTGAGAGAGTACAACTGTTTACAAAACAAAATATAGTAGTACCCACTCCTGGGACAGAACTGTCATATGTCATAACCCTTTCAATGCTTCTAGTATTTGTATCTTAATGTTCATCCAGCAACTACCACACTGGAGAGAGTGTGCCATGCCATAGCGTGCTTTCTGTGCCGGAGCGGCACTCGCAAAGCATATCCTCAAAATGTACCCCAGGAGTTCTGGTTAGTTGCCTGCTCGATGTAAAGATTGATTTTTGAGGGTTTGTCCCCTATGTGAGTTGACAGTAGAGATCTCCAGGAAATGTCTGGACCCGAGTCAGACCAGGTAGCACTGATAGGAGAGATTTAGGAGGAGGTGCCCTGCAAGCTGCAGTGAGCCACTCAACCTTAATGTCCTGGGGTTTGGTGCACTCTGACTACTTACTGCTTCTTTCCTTCGCCACATAGGGTCGTCCTCTCCGGGAACAGCAAGAGGTGGCTGCTGCTGTTATCCAGCGTTGCTACCGAAAGTACAAACAGGTAATCAAGGAACTGAAATTTTATGAAACACGCGTAAGTGCCATGAACACGGCCCTTTGTAGTGGGAATTATCCCACTGTTCCTCTTGTATGCTTTTCAGCATGCAGTAATGAAATACCTCGCTCAGGCAAAATTGAAATGTGTCCTAAAGTTTAATTTCGGAGGGAATCCTTGAAAGGATTTTGTTTCTGATGATAACCTGCATTTTTGCTGAGATAGAGGGCGATGATGTGTTCCATATTGGCCTTTATGCATGCTGCAGCCTGGTGAGAATATTCTCTGACTAGTTGCTTGCCAAATTTCATTGTGAAATTGAAGTTGGTTTTGCCTTTGATAAAGGCGAAGATGAAAAATGGGTTGTTTTATTTTGCACATACTAAACTTGTAAACTATGGGAAGTCACATGTTTTAGCTTGATGCAAGTTGTTCCGGGACTGAGGTTGTTCTCCAGACTCTAGCTGGAGACATGCTTTTAGGCTGAGTTCTCAACCCCAGAAAAAGAAGATCTTTTTTCTTTTTCCTTTTTGGTTTTTGAGGGTGGTGGTTTTGTTTGTGGTTTGTGGGTTTGGTTTTTTTTGTCGGGGCTAGAGCCCACGTCCCTCTTTTCATTACACCCTGCTAGACTCCAGCTGTCTGATGCCTGGCAGCATGTTACGTAACGAGAAAGGCAAGATGCCTGTGCTCTTTTACAACCTTCAAAGCCATTTATTTGGGAAGCCTTTCTAGTGTTAGGTGACTGCATCATTATTCACATTCGACCTGTCACACAGTGGTCATTCTAGAGTGATGCTTCCTGTAACAGGGAAGCTTAATTCCTTTCAAAAACTGCCTGACAAACTGCTTTGTCTTGGATCCTGGAATCGCTTCTTTTTGAAAGAAGATGGTTTGGTTTTTTTAATTTTTTCATTCTTTATTTGCAGAACTAATATTAACTATGTATTTTTCTGTTTCTCCCTAAGCTTACTTGGATAGCCTTGAAGGTAATACAAATACAAACACTATTTTGGAAACAATTCCCCGTGGGTCACTCACTTTCACATTCAATATAAACCAGGAGAAATGTTGTCATAGTATCCACTGTTAAATACCCGTGGTTGAGAAATCAGTGAAAAACCAAACCTGTGGGAGATACGTAGGGGCTGCCGTGCCACAGTCCCCTGCTTCAGGTGCTTGGACAGGCAGCGATGGACTGAGGTGCGGAGAAGGTTTTGAAGGCACTTTCTAGAGGACAAGCTGTCCTTTGCTGCTGCTGGTTAGCTGTCACTCGGTGACCTTTGCCTTGGCATTTGGGGAGCACAGCAGAACATTTATCCCACCCGTGCAGCCAGTGTCCTCTGTGTTCTGCCTGCCTGCCACAGGGTTTTGAACATTCATCTTTGAAATACCTGTGCCCTGAATTACCAAGACCACCGTCTCGTGTACATTCCTGCGCATACTGGAGGCACAACTGTTGATGCCAGTCTTAAAATTGTTCATGGCTAATAATTTCCTACTGTAAGGATGGATTTCCCAGCTAAGCACAGTCTGGCTTTCATCAGGTACTACAATCAGCTGAGCTGCTCAGAGCCACCCGGGAGGCAAGGCATGCTCTTCTGGAAAGAACATGTCCTCAGGGTAATTGTCCATCCACAGCTTCCTCCTGCACGGTGGTTTTGTATCAGTCAGAGCACTGTTCTGTCAGCACAAGTGAGCTGAGCTCTCCAGGGCCGCTATACTAGCTGAAGCTGACCGCTTCAGGAAGGCTAGGTGACTTCTCCATTTATCCTCTTCCCAGCTGGAAGGAGAAAGAGGAGGAGAGGGAGCAGCTGATCAGCTAAGTGGGTCTTAGAGTTGAATGCAAACATATTGGGGTCTGGTCTGTCCAGTGGCTGCTGTTTTCTCTTTCACATGCCTTGCTCCTCTATTACGTGACTGTATTGCTGAGATCAGCACAGGCTTACGGCTAGATTTGAACAGTCATAGCTCACATCACGGTTTCATATTTGAACCCTTCTATTCAGGGGTTTGTAACTCAGCCACAGAAGTCCCATCTGGGCTAAAAATTGGAAGGAAAACCACGGCCAGCCCATGAGTGGACTTACTAAAATAGCTAATTTAAAACCACAATCTGATCCATTTAATTAAAAACGTTAAAAAGAGGGGGAAAAAAAAAAAACCAAAAACCCACAACAAAAAAACCAATGGAAATTAATGGCAAAATATAACTGCATCTAATGACTGCTTCAATTCCAAAAAGTGAAATTTGGTAAATGGTGGTCTGTGATGATATTGGAGGGGTTTTTGCTTTGGGGAGATGTCGGGGGTGGTGAGGGAGGTTTGTGCGTTTGCTTTTTGGGTTTTTTGCCAATAGACAGGAAAACTCCATTGAGATGTGTTAGAACATTACCCCATACAGGGCAGTGGCTGCTATTTGTGTCTCTCAAATGTCTGATAAAGCGAGCAGAACCCATAGCTGATAAAATATCCAGGAAGAACAGAGAAGTAAGTTTTGAAAGTGTTAAAACTTTCAAAATAAGATCAGTAAACACTGAAAACCCCTGTCATAGTGTTAGGTCACAGGTATGAGTGTGACTTCTATACATTATTCTACATCTCTAGCTTAAAAATAATTTAAAAATATGCATGAATGCATATGGTTTCGTTAAGTGGCCATCTACTTGCGTGCTTTAAAAGGAGAAAGATGTAGAATAAAGATTATTTTCTTTTAATTTAAGAGTTTGTGCCTGCTTTATTTGGAATCATGGGGCTAGAAATAATGCAGTGCTAGAGGGAATTCTGGATGTGTGTGACTGCTCATGCAAATTTACAAGTTCAGAGAGTGCTCGTTACAGACTTCTAATGAGATTTAGTTTTGCCTATGACTTAGGCTCAATATTAGACTTGTTTAATTAACTGTTGTGGTTTTTGGATTTTGTTTGGGTTTTTTAAGTTAGAATCATATGTTATTCCACTTGAAATACTTGGATCTAAATGGGTGTATTTGAGCAATCCAAAACTTCTGCGGTATTGCGCTATGGCATAGAAACAAGAAACGAGCTGTTTAAAAGTTAATTGACGTAGGAGAGTGGAATACACTTGTGAATAGCAAATTCAGTTCTTAAAAAAGTCATTTGTTCAAAAGGTATTTCTAAAGAAAGACACAAAGAAGGTGTATTTTGGGTTTAGTTAATTTCCTAGCATTTTGGAATAGTCACTCACACTGCTTTATCCTTATCGTCACTTAGCTGGGCATATTTTGCTGCTGTTGTCTTTACAAACAATGGCGGCACAGAAATGAGCATCCTGTACTTTGTAATGAGATTTCCGTGTGCAAGGGAAACAACCCTTCCAAGCATAGTCAGTTGGTTTATCTCTAACGCAGACCCCCTGCAGTACAAATACGAAGCAGTGTAAACGTGACTCAGGATCCACTCCAGTTGTTCCAAAGTTGTTCCTAAGTATAGTGCAGCTGGATCTGGTCATTAGCAGGTACAATACAGAGCCTCTGCTGGCTAGGTGTTAAATAAAACCAGTCCCTTCAAACCATTCTGGGGTCAGCAAAACAGGCAGTTGCTTTCACGGTGCAGGCCAGGTTTCACACCTAATCTCACAGTTGTTCCAGTTTGCTGTTGCCCTTTTCTCATACAGTTCCCGATCAGCGAACAGATACTCATTTGCTTCTCATCATGTCTTAGTGGTGCAAGAGTCACCATAGGAACCTGCTGCTTGCTGGTTCTATCAGAATGCCTCAGCTTCTCTTTGTTTCTCTTGTAGTATGCACTTTATAAAAAGATGACGCAAGCTGCCATTCTTATCCAGAGCAAATTCCGCAGTTACTATGAGCAGAAAAAATTCCAGCAGAGCCGACGAGCCGCGATGCTGATCCAGCAGTACTATCGTAGCTACAAAGAATGTGGAAAGAGGAGGCAAAGCCGTCGGGCGGCCACCATTGTACAACAGAAACTCAGGTGAGCTGTTGGGATGTTAGATGCTACCAGGATCTTTATGTATTATTTTTACACTCATCAGGGCTGTGCAATAATTTACGGGAAAAGGGCAGTGGTTCATAGGAAGGTTCATTCTTGCATGTACTATTACTCTCCCCAGTTTTGCCTGCACTTCACTGTTGGGTTTTTTTTTGTGTTTAGAAGCAGTCTGCTTACCAAGAAGCAGGATCAAGCTGCTCGCAAGATTATGCGGTTTTTACGACGCTGCCGCCACAGGTATGACGCTACCTTTTGGTATCTGCCCTTCATTAGAGCAATGCAGCAATGTTCAAGTGTGTCAGCAATGAGTGCAGTGTAAGGGATAATAGAATCAGCTCACTACAGATCTTTTAATCAAGTGATGAAGCCCAGCTGCTTCCAAGATACACTGGCAAAAATGAAATCTCTAACTTAGGACTGTTGCGGAAAGAGAATCATGTTCAGCTCCATTGCTGGTACAGTAAAGCAGCCCAGGTTGTGTTGGGCAGACACAGAATAAGGAAACTTGGAGCAAAGCAAGGTACATGACTTTAAAAGTTGGACTAGAGGAACTTTGGAAAAAAGCTTACTGAATCATAGCTACAGCTTGTAAAGTGCTGCACGAAGCATTTGTGGTATTGGGAAAGTGCAAAATGCTACCACACATGGTGTATGCTGGAAATGCCTTTAGTTTGGTCACAGGATCATTTGGTAGACTCACCAAATACAGGTTCTTTTTAATGTGGGTAGGCAGAGTGTGCCAGCAGAGCAGCAGACGAGTGAGTTCACATCAGCCACTCCATGCTTACCTCGATAAGTACAGACACGGACATGAAGACAAATCACTTCCTGCCAGCGTGGGAACCTGCACGGGCTTGCCAGAGTGCTCACGTGTGGCAGCTAGCACTACCATACCAGTACTCCACTACACGCGGGGCATTTGTTTTGATTTTTCAGTGAAAGGATCCCATGTATGATCAGGTTGCAAACTGGAACTTTGCCTAGACAAAAGTGAATTTAGATGTTTCTGACTCTGCTCCCTCCATTCTCACCACACATGCATTTCATCCACTCAGGAGCTGGTCAGACCTGATGCATTTTGAAGCATGTCTCGTTCAGCCCAGTGATGATTGAACAGGGAGAGCTCTGAGAGGTAGAGAGGCGTGTGATAAACTTTATTTTAGAAACAGACTTGGTCATTTTTGTAGGATTTCAGAGCTGCAGTTTGCAGGAGGTCAATGTGGCTTATGTTGTGGAATGACATCTTACCTGCAGGTTCAGTGGGAAGTAATGTGTGGACAAGAAAGAGGGCTTTATAGTTTCCAGGCCAGTTCCAAAGGCACTTGAAACAGCCATGGTTGTTCACGAAGAAGCCCAAGTGGCTTCTTGCTCTCAGCAGGGCATGTGGAAGAGACCAAGAGGTTTGTTGTGTTGTGTTTGTTGGGCAGCGTGTCCCACTGAAGCAGGCGGAAGCTCAGGACTTCTGTATCCTCTCAGATCTGCTTGAGATCCAGACAGTCCCTGGGGAAGCCATGTGCCCATTTCCATCCATGGAGGCTGCAGGGTCAACCTGCCAGAGGCTCTTAGAGCCAACTCTCACACTCAAGCCCAGAGAATACCTCACCAAGAGCTGTATCACTGGATTTCCCACCGATGTCCAGGATGCGCCATGCGCTTCAGCCATGCTCAGTTAAGCCTCCAGCTGTCGAGTAACCTAGACTCTCTAGGGCTCGAGTTGCCCATGAATCCAGCAGCTTTTCTTACCTTCAGCTCATTGCCTTCCTCTTTCTCAGCGTCTCCCGTTGCCTTTGTAGAGTGAGACCATACTCACTTGCATCGCTGAAGTTTGCAGGCAAGACCCTTCCCTTTGCCTGTAGTCACTCTCCTCTCTCTTCAGCAGCGTGGTCGCCGCTGCCGTACATCTCTGGGAGGTTTAGATCTTGGGTATTTATAGACAGGAAATGGAAAGCAGCAGCCGGGGGGGATCCGTTGTCAGTAGGCTCTCTCTGGCTTTGGTCACACTGTGCAGGGCTTGAGTTTCTGTGACAGTGCAGTCCTGTCTGTGTTGGTAGGCGCTCTGTTAGCAGTTGTGGTTACTTGGGATTCGTCCATGGTTCTTGGCTAGCATGCAACGAAAGCAAAAAGTGACTTATTTCCACTGAAGATGTTAACCATGTTTCAAAGCTGCCTTGCTTTTCATTCTGAAATAAAAACGATCACGCGTTTGTGGTCATGTACTTTCTCCAGGCAATCATAAGGGTTTAAAACTGTGTTACTGTAACTAATACTAATAATTGACACAAATTTTAACCAGGAGCGTTCTGGCATTGGCAAATGCTAAAAATAAAAGCAAGACTTGCCAAAATGACAAAACCAGCCTGAAAAAGACATAAATTCACCAGCCTACTAGATGTACAGAACTGTTTAGAAATGTGACAAGTTTGGGCCTCTTTCGCTGAGTTCCTCCTGCTTGCCAAAAAAGTTGCAAAGACAGACGTTTTCCAGAGCAATTCGTGCTCTGTGCACGTAGGCTACGTCTGTGATCCTGGGGCTGTGCTGTGGGAGTACCCCACAGATCCTCAGAGTCTCCTGGCTGCCGGTACAGCGCAGAGAGATCTGGCCCCGTGCTTGTTTGCGCCCAGTGAAGAACGACACACAGATGGGGTTCTTGGAGCTGTTTTACCATACAGGATTTTGAAGACAAACAGATTGAAGTCTTGCTTGTGTAAGCAGCTGCGGAGGAAAAATATAATACCGGAAATGATGCAGATCTACTTATCAGAACACAGCTTCACTTGCTTCAGCACCTCAGCTGACTCGGACTGACCCGTTTGCTTCCTCACCCCCCGCCCCGACGGGGAGATCCGCGCGCTTTCCGCAGCACAGCCATATCCTGGCAAGACCACCCGCGTTCGTTCCTTCCCAAGCTTGGCTCTGCAACCCCTTTTCTGAGCTGGCCTGTTCGTGGTGCTTGTACACTGGGGTGCCCGGTGGAAGATGAGGGAATTGCTTGCTTCTCATCTGCTCTTCTTCAAGCCGTCTGAATTTTCTTTTCTGTGTCTTAATAATTACATTTATTCCTCACTGCCTGACTTTTCTTGCTTACCTCTTTCTAAGGATAGAGTAATAAAACTTAGGATGTTAAATAAATTTAAAACCACCTCTAGATAAGCCTCCTAATTATAGCCATTTGGTCTACTGTGCATCCTCTGTAATGCTCGCACAGGATACAGCTGATGATTACGTGACTGGTACTTAGGCCAATAGCCCCACACGCTGTTTCAGGAGTACTGTTTGGTGGAATCCCATCACGGACTCCTCTTGAAACACTCAAAATTAGCACACTGCTGCTATGAACAAGAAATTAAGAAAGCACCAGGCTCCATAAAGAAATACTTCAGCTGTCGAAGCTCCTGAACATCCGGGGCAAGTGATAACCACTAACATCTCATGTTATTTAATGCTCTGTAGCATAAAAATGGCACTGTGGAGCCACTTGTTAAACCACAGTGCCTTGTCAGTACAAGGGATAGAAATGACAGATATTTTTGGAAAATCTGAGGGAGCGAGAGGAAAGAGAGCATACACAGGAACATCAGGGAAATGGGATCTTTCAGCAGATCTGTCAGCTGATAGACGACTGGGGGAGGAGGCTGTAAAAGCCACTTGCAGTCTGTCGTAAGGATAGTGAGCTAAGTGAAAAGGCAGTAAATTCTTAAAGTTCAGAAATTCAACCTTAAAAAAAATTAAACTATTTAACATAGGTTTTTGTGCACAAGCAGATTCTGTTGCTGGGCCAATAAGTGGCTCTTAGTAAGAGCTTATTCTGTAGCCTTTAGGCAAGATCTGCTCAGGCTTTCCCCTGGCAACCATGCGGTTGGTTGGGTTTTTTCCTATTTTAAATTGATTAAAGTCTACTTTAAGCCAATTATGAGAACTGCTAGCATTCAGAACAGCTTAAATGGTGGTCTTGTCCTATTTTGCTTACTAGCCTTTTGGCACAAAGGCTCAGTAGTGCAACCATGATTCCCATCAGCTTGAGGATCCAGGGTACATAGGTACATTGGTCTTGTGTTTTGTGATCTCCTGAACTTAACGCTTGTTGCCTGATCAGACAGTATTTCAGATGTTTTGAGAGAGTTAACGAGAGAGGTTCTGTGGTTGGAGAGAGTTAATGAGAGAGGTTCTGTGGTTGGAGAGAGTTAATGAGAGAGGTTCTGTGGTTGGAGAGAGTTAATGAGAGAGGTTCTGTGGTTGGAGCGCTCTCAGTAATGGATGCATAGACATTGATGAAAATTAGAAAAGAAATGTAAGTTCGGTCGAATGTGTTCTTAGAGAGGATATTGGAGCTCTAGTAGCTGAATATTATCAGGTGTCATGGAGAAAAAAGCGGTCATTCATCAGCAGCAGTCATTCTGATGGTCAGACATGTATTATTTCCTTTTGACTTTGGGGAAAAAAACCCAACTTCTTTATCCATCTGTTGTCATATTCTCAATCTGGTGAAAAACATGCATCAGCCATAACATGGTATCACCATGAGTCGTCACAGAAGTGGTGTTTATTGAGAATGAGGAACACAAACTTCCTGGCCTCCCAGGAGAGCTTTGCCCATCTTCCCGTGGTGCCCAGACCTGTTGGCTGGCACTTGACTACCTTTCAGCCTAAAACTTGCACTACACCTACTGTGAGTTGAGCTGTCTCCTGGCACGCTGTCCTGTGTGAGGCAGAATCAAGGGCTTGCATAATGGTTTTGGAAAGACTGAGTTAATGAGAGAGGTTCTGTGGTTGGAGCGCTCTCAGTAATGGATGCATAGACATTGATGAAAATTAGAAAAGAAATGTAAGTTCGGTCGAATGTGTTCTTAGAGAGGATATTGGAGCTCTAGTAGCTGAATATTATCAGGTGTCATGGAGAAAAAAGCGGTCATTCATCAGCAGCAGTCATTCTGATGGTCAGACATGTATTATTTCCTTTTGACTTTGGGAAAAAAACCCAACTTCTTTATCCATCTGTTGTCATATTCTCAATCTGGTGAAAAACATGCATCAGCCATAACATGGTATCACCATGAGTCGTCACAGAAGTGGTGTTTGTTGAGAATGAGGAACACAAACTTCCTGGCCTCCCAGGAGAGCTTTGCCCATCTTCCCGTGGTGCCCAGACCTGTTGGCTGGCACTTGACTACCTTTCAGCCTAAAACTTGCACTACACCTACTGTGAGTTGAGCTGTCTCCTGGCACGCTGTCCTGTGTGA